CCCAGAGCCAGGCGTCGCTATAAAGCGTGGCTTCCGTGGTTTCTAGGGATTGGCCTTGTCAGCCGTACAACTGCAGGAATCATTGCTATCTATGTGTGTATATATATACAAATGATTCCTGTAGTTGTACTATAGAAAACGGCCTTCGGGGCCCCCTCCCCCCCCCCCCCCCCTTCGTTCCAACTTCCCCCCTGCACTCCGAAAGGCAGGCGCGAAGTTGACAGCGGATGTCCTCCTCCTCCCCTTCCTTCTGCTTCCGCCCCCAACCTCCTCCTCCTCCGCCTCCGCCTCTCCGTTTCCCTCCTCCTCCTCAGCCGCCCCTTCCTCCTTGTCCTCCTCCTCCTTCTCATCGTCCGCCGTGTCCTCCTCCGCCTCCTCCTCGCCCTCCTCCTCCTCCTCGCCCCCCTCCCTCTCCTCGCCCTCCTCCTCTTCCCCCCCCCCCCCCCCCCTCCCCTCCCTCTGTTCTCTCTCCCGCGTGGCTCAAGAGCGGGGGCCTTGTAGTTGTCCGCGAGTACGCCAGTCATGACCTCGGTCGTCTCCTCGGCAATCTTCCTGGGCTTGTTGGGGCCTACAACCGTCAACTTGGCGAGGCCGTTGCGGACGCGCGAAATCTTCCACCTCTGCGGCCCGCCTGCAACGAGCTCCACATCCACGCCGACCTCGAAACCCATCGCCATCAGCGCGGCGTCGTCCACGCCCTTGGCCTCGAAGCCGCGCGTCGCGAGCTCGACCACGCCCGCGCGCTTGATGTGGTTGACAGCCTTCACGTCGAAGGGGGGCTCGGGCTTCGCCGCGGCAGGGGCCAAGTCGTGCGCGTCATTCAGCAGCTGCGAGCCGATCTCATCCAGGGACTGCCACACCTTTCGGGATCGCACCTTCTTGTTGTGGATGCACATCACGACGCGAACCTCGAAGTCGGTCGCCTGTCAGCCTGGCGACGTCGCTGTCTGCGAGGTTGCCCCTGAGCTCGGAGCTGTTCATGATCTCGCGCAGCCGGTCCTTGACCTTGCGAAGCATGGTGATGAACGCGAGGACATTATGCTTGCCCTTGCCCGTCACCGTGGCCATGTCCTGGCCGCCCAGCAGGACCGATACGCCGTTCTTGCACATCGACTCAGGAGACACGAAACTGGCCTTCAGCATCGCGAGCACAATCTCGGGACCTTGCACGAAGCGAAGGTCTGCAAGTACCTTAAATGTAATCCCAGACGCGTCTCTCGTCACCTCCAGGGTTTTTGCCCATGCGTCTAACTCAGTCAAGTAGTTGCCAGAAGCACCGCCGCTCCAGTTTGCCACGAACGTGCAGATGGGCATGACTTGGCCAATCATGTGCTGCCTGTCATTCTCGATGGCCATAGCTATGTGCTCCCAACCATATTCGCCAGACACACGGAAGTTCCTCATCGCTTTCTGGTGCATTTCTAGCATGGTCCGCATTTTTGTTTGCACGCGCTCAGTGCCATGCCCACTGTTCAATGCTTCTTGAAGCCAGTCGGCCATTGATGGCCATTGCTTGTCCACTGAGGCGCGGATGGCGATCCACTCCAGCCCGTTCTTGAGCGGAACAGCCATCGCAGGGTTCGCGGCGGTGGCCTTCGAGGATGCCCCTCGCAACCCGGGGCGCTGCGCTTTCTCATTCGCCGCCTCTGGCAGCGGCAATGGGAAAGCGCAAATCGTGGCACTCGGGCTGGTAGGATGCATCCGCACCTTCTCAGGCGATAGCTTCCCGCCCTGCGAGAGCTCTGTCAAGTACGTCGATGCCCTGGCGCTCGCGGCGTTCAGCATGGCAACCTTGTGGCTGCTCGAGACCGTCGCGAACCTCGCATCGGCCTGGTCTACTGGTGCCAACATGTTGTCGCTGCAGCGGTAGAGTGTCTCGTTAAACTTGAAGATGCTGTCGTCAGACGGTTCCACCTCGATGCAGACAGCGACGCCGACTTTGGCCAGGCTCCATCCTTGGCCGACCACACGCAGGAGTAGGGCATGCACGTCCAGGGGGCCCAGGCCCGTTTTGAAACGGTTGTGCTTGTGCGGGCGCAATTACTTGTTCTCGATTTTTTCCTTACGTGCAAGGTTGTGGCTCAGCAAAATAGAAATCAACTCGTCGGCCTTGCTCCTCAACTGGTTGAATCCCCCATCATCCCCATGTGATTTCAGCAGCTCCAGCACTCGATTCTCGACGTCGGCCATGGCCTTTGCAACGGATGACGCCATGGACGGTGCGAGCTCTGATGCGTCTACGCGCAGACGCCACGACGCACTCAGCCAAAACGGCTAGTTACGTTGGGGGTTGTGGTTGGGGTTTCTGGGTGGTGGAACCCCCCCCCCCCCCCCCCCCCAAAGTGGAATTCAACGGTTTCGTATATCAGACTATGGATTCTCGTCAGGAAATTCACAGCTTTCAATGTGAAATCCTTGGGTCTGGAACTTGAAACTCAGAATCTTGATCTAGAAAATCATTGATCTGGATCTTGATTGCGGAGGATCTGGAGCTTGATTTCTGAGGTTGCTAACGTGTTTAGGGGGTGCGCGTAACTCGTTTAGCGAAACCCGTAAACAGTTTAGCTTGGGGGGGCTCAACCAGGTTAGCTGCACTTAGGCCGAAAACGCTAAGTAGGTTTTCGAGAGGCGGCGCGATTAGCATGTAGCTTGTGGAGCACCTTAATGGATAGCCCCCACTACAACCAGGTTGAGTATGATATAACCATGGATCACTACATTATAAACGGTCTTTAACATGCGTTATACAAGCTTCTAAGAACCTACAACACGCACACCTACTTAGGAAACAGGGCGGGCATTCAAGCAGTCTATTTAGCAGGCGTTGCCCAGAGCCCAGAGGAGGCATTTGAATGCTACGGGGGCGAGGCTGTCGAGCTAATCGCAGGTTCCCCTGCGAAGCTTAAGGCCCCCCGCGCGGCGCGTCCAAACGATCGTCGCGCGCGCCGGCGCTGCGTTTCTAAAGGCCGCCAATTTGGCGGGGGTGCGCGCTGCGCCGCTTGCGCCGGCAGCGGCGCCGGGAAGTTGCGCCCGCGCGGGCTCGCCCGCCACGGGCGTGACTCGCGAACAGTTGAAGGGCGACGCCACGATGAAGCCGCGGCTCGAGGCGCGCAAGCGCCGCGGCCCGTCGCGCGGCAGGCAAGCTTGTCGCGGGCGACGAGAAGAATATTGAATTTATTACCAACGCACCGCGACCTCCCGGGGCATCGGCGAGGATGCGCGGAGCGCCATTGATTGGGAAGCGCCCATGGGATGCGCTGAAGCAATGCGCCACCGAGACAAACGTGTCGTCGCGCCTGGAAGACTGGGGCCAAGCGCTCCGCCGGGGCGGATCAGCGCAACGCTGGTTCGATGGCGCGGACGAAGTGGCGAGAGCTATCTCCGACGGCGTCAGCGGCCCGCTTTTGGCCGAGTTGCTCGACATAACGAGCTACGGCGACCCGGGCGCGGCTGACTTGTTTCGCAGCGGCGCGCCTCTCCTCGGCAAGTTGCCCCGCGCGGGGGGCGGCCCCGCGAAGGCTTTCCCCTGGCCCATCTCCGCCGAGACCTTGCGGGCCTCGTCCGCAGCGCACAACCGAGAGATTTGTGTCGTTTCTAAGGGAGGATGCGAGCGCCTCGGCGCTGCACGACGGCGCGCTCGCCGACGCAGCCATGTCGCGGATGGCGCCTCCAGTTCTCGTAGCCGATGCTGACCTCGGCAGGGTGTGCTTCTCGCCAGGGTTTTCAATGATACAGGGCGTCACAAAGGACGGGGCGCCAATAATCCGCGTTGTGGACGACGAGTCCAGGGGCGGCGTCAACGCGGCGTGCCAGCCTGCGGAGCGACTGCAACTCGACGGCGCGGGCGCACTCGTCGACGCGATACGCTTCTTTCGCGATCAGCCTGGATGCGCGCCGGCTCTGTTCAAGGCGGACATAGATCCCGCCTATCGTCGAATCCCCATTGCTGCTGAGCACAGATGGGCCGCGTACAGCACGGTCATTTAGCGATGACGTTTGGAGCGCTGGCCGCGGCATTCGGCTGGGGCCGCGCGGGCGCAGCCCTGGTTCATCTCGCCCGAAAACTTTTTCGAATCGCTACCCCCCGATGCGCGGGCGACTTCTTTGGCCCGTGCGCGCCTGAAGCAAAGGTGCACACCGCGGCTTCTCTGGCCAGACTCGCGCGCGCGCGTTGCTGGGCCCAAGAGCAGTGTCCGACAGAAAGTTGGAGCGTGGCGACGCGCTGGAGATCTCAGGCTTGCGCGCGTCGTTTTCTTTGACTGGCATCCACCTGTTCCCGGCGCCGATGAAGGCGCGCACATGGGCGCTGTTCTTCAGGCAGGCGCTCGACGCCGAGAAGTGATGCGCCGGCCAGGCCAGCAAGTTGGCTGGCGCCCTCAGCTGGGCAGGACAACACTGCTTCGAAAGGCTAGGGCGTGCGATGCTCCAACCTCTGTTCTCGCAGCAGCATTCGCGGCGCGGCGAGGTCCGAGGACCGCTGGCTCTCTCGCTTTTCTGGTGGGCGGACGTGCTGGACCTCGGAGTGCATCAGGCCTAGCCGCGGTTGCCGCCAGAGCGGCAAGAGGCGCGCCTTTTTGCGGGCGCCCGTGGAGGGCCCGAGCCGAGGCTGGCCGCCGTTTTATTCATCGACGGCCTCGCCGTTTGGACTGGCGCCCCGCTGGGCCACGGTTTGCTAGCGGATCTGGCACCGCGAAGCGATTCCCATATCATGGCGCTCGAGTTGTTCGCCATAGCGCTAGGGCTGACTCCTCTCTGCGAAAGGTTGGCAAATCGTCGAGTTGCCATTTGGTCCGACAACGTTGGGGCGGAGGCAGCGGCGCGCAGTGGCCGCGCCTCCGCTTGGGACCGCTGGCGAATTATTCATGCGTCGTGGCACCTCATCGCGCGCATCGGATGCGGGGCCTGGTTCGACCGAGCGCCGTCGGAAGGGAATGTCGCCGACCTCCCGTCGCGAGAGAAGTGCGAATTATTGCGTCTGCTAGGGGCGAACTCTGCGACGCCGCAGCCGAGCGCGGCGGAGTTCTTCGCTCCAGGCACATTCCTTGCCCGCGCTCTCTCGGCGAGCGCGCGCCGGAAAGTGGCGGGGCGCAGCGCAGGCGCGGTCGCGCGCAGGCCACGGCGTGAAGCGCAGCGGAAAGGTTTTCATTGCGGCCCCCTCGTTTCAGTACGAGGCGAGCCAGGCCTCGCGCGGGATGGGGCAGAATTGCCGCGCGCTTTGGCAAGTCCCATGTCGTTTGGGGAGTCGCGGTCTCGTCCCAGCGCTAGTCGCGCCGCTGCACATATCATTCCGCTGCCGACGCAGGTTCGAGGCGCAGAGATCTCGGCCAGAAGAGGACCATGCCGCTGTTTTATGAAGCGCATAATGCCTTGCCAACGCTTCCACCTGTTACTACTTTCGCGCTGGTGGAGCTTCTGGGGCGACGCGATCTACTCGCGCTGCATGATCTGCAGTTCGCGCGAATCGGACGGTTTGAGTCCATTCCCGACGCAGACGGTGAGCGAGGTGTCAGTCCCGACGCCCTGCGGAACAGCTTGTCGGCACTAATTAGCGAGGCAAAGAAATTGCCTGCAGCCGCGCGGAGAGCGGGCGACGAGCGCGCTCCTGCGCCTGACGCGCCCGAACGCGCGCCCCGCAGGCGCAGTCGCCGCGTCCGGCGGAGAGCGACCAAATGTGCTGACTCAGCCGCTGAGTGCGGCGCCGTGCGGGATCTTGAGTTGGCTATTGGCACTGCGAGCCAGCGCGCGATTGTGCCGAGCGCGGGCCCTCGCCGCGAGGTGGAGGCCCTGCGGCGGGGGATCGCGCGGCGCGCGGCGCGGAATAAGCGATGGGTCAAATTCTGCCAGGATTGCCGCCATTTTGGGTAGCTGCCCTAAGGCGTGGCCCAGCGCGTTGAGCGGCTTCCGCTGTTGGGCAAGATTTTCGATGACAGTGCTCGGCTGCGACGCGGGAACCATCGCCCCGCCCGCGCCAGACGGCTCGGCGTTCTGGAGCACGCGCTTTCGCTACAAAGGCGCGTTCGACAATTATCTCTCGCGCGTAAGCATAGCGTGCATCGTGTTACGCGCATCGGTCGACGCTTTTGCAGACCCCGCAGTCGCGCGCGCTGCTCGAGCAGCGCAGCAGGCGCGCAATATTTGGCAAGCTCGCCCATGATGTTCATTCGCGAGGCGCTTCTCGTGAAATTGTTGAAGCATCTCGCCCGCCTGCCTTCAGGGCGCGCGCTGCGCGTGCTCCTCCTGGCGGTGCATATATTCTTGTTGCGCCTGCCCTCTGAAGCTCTTCCGATTCACGTCGCTCGCGCAGGCGATCCACCGAAGGCGGGCGAGCCGAAGTCCTGCCTACGGTTTGATGATAATTCGTTTTCGCTTACTTTGCGCTTGCGCAAGAACCGCGCCTCGCCGATCGCGATGTCGCGGACCTGTTGGCGCGCGCGCTGTAACGCAACGCGCCCCGCGCGCGCGCTGGGCAAGCTTTGCGCCGAGGTCGAGCCCGGGCAACCTTTCGCGCATTTCCGCCCAAACGTGGTCTCAACGGCGCTGCGCGCAGCCCCGCAAAAGCTCGGGGCGCCCCAGCATCACGCGCATCGCACGTGCGATCTTCGCAGGGGTCGCGCGCAGGACATGGCCGTCCGAGGTTCGAGGCTGGCAGACATCCTGCGAGCCGGAGATTGGCGTTATGCGGCTTCCCTGTCTTATATAAATAAGGACGAACTGGAGGCGGCCGCCATCAGGGAAGCGCGCGGCGACCTGTCGTCCAGAGACGATGATGCAGGCTAAAGGAGTAGCATTTTGGGCACCTCGCGCGAGTGCGGCGATGGGTGTTCCCTCGCGCGCCGGCGCAGCAAGTGCCTTGGGCGTCGCTGCGCCCGCGCGCTCCCGCGGGGCGCGGCGACGCGAGCAAGGCGTCGCATGCGCGCCCCGCGGGTGAGGGCCTACCCAGAGCAGCGCTCCCCGC